CGTTCATCCAACTACGCCAGTGTCTGTACGACGACGGACTTCCCATTAAACATCTCCAACGATTTCAAATAAGACGATAGTTACCCGGAAAACAGTGGCTATCTTTCATCTTCGAACTTCGTCATTTGGCAGAAGACGCATTCCCCGAATTACCGGTGGCTGATCGCGAGGATAAGGTGATTGATCAATTGTGCATCGGTACGACAGTTTCTTGCAACGGAAATTCGTAAAACAACGCCCTTACTCTGTCGCGAAAGTCATGGAAACGGCCCGGAGGGAGTCTCAGATCGAGACAATGGTTCGACGGAACGAGCTAGAGGTTCTCGGCACCATTGCATCGATACAAGCACCGAATGCTGGGCCACGGCGACCGCCATATTTCCCGGATCGGAGGTTCTACACTTCTCAGCACAGAAGACTCCTGCGCTTTGAGAAAAAACATCTGTCGCTGACTGCGGCTACTGTCGTCGGTTCGGCACGGAAGCCCAAGCTTTTGGGCATAACAAACCAAGTAAGTCATCCGCCATTCGTTCTGTACCGATCTGTTTTATGGAAAATCACCTTGTCACCGCTGTTATTCCACTAGTTGTGATTACTGTGTGGGGTAGGAAAGTACTAGCCTTGATTGATACTGAAGCCTCCTGCTCCCTAGTGCGGGCGTCGATTGTACCCAGGGATGTAGATTGTTTCAGACCCATTCCAACCAAGCTAGTCGCGGCCAACGGGACTACCATAGTTACAAAGGGTCACACATCGACTACTCTGGCACTGGGAAGACGTAGACACTCACATTCAATGATCACGGTCGGCGAACTTCCATGGGATGCGATTTTGGGAATTGGTTTCTATCAACACATAACATTTCTATCGACATTCCACGACGGCGAATGACCGTAGATGAGGTTTGTGTACCGTTCTGTGATCCATAACTCTGCGGAGACAGATNGAGACAGATCGTCCCATTTAGCGGGAGTTTTCGATTCTTCGTCTCTCCTGCCACCATCATCATCTGATCCCAGTTAGAGTGAATTAAAGAAACTACGAAATGAATTTAACGACACATTTGCCTGGACGGAAACTGAAATCGGGCGCACCAGGCAGGTGCAACATCACATTGACACTGGCAACGCCCACCCGCTACGGTCGGCGCCACGACGGGTTCCCGTGCATTACCAAAAGCAGTTAGAAGAGTTGAATAAATCAATGCAGAAACAAGGGGTGATCAAATCATCGAATTGCCCTTGGGCTTCCCCTATAGCTCTGGTAAAAATGCGTGACGGGACACTTAGACTTTGTGTTGATTATCGTCGATTAAACGCGGTTACTAGAAAATACTCTTTTCCGCCTCCACGAATCAGCTCCCGGACGCAGTGTGGGGAGGACGCCACTTCAGCACATTGGATTTAGTCTTCGGTTACTGGTAAGTCGAGGTCCATCCAGAAGACAGGTGCAAGACAGCGTTTTTAATTCTCACGGGACTTTACGAGTTTGAGACGATGCCCTTCGGACTGACAAATGCACTAGCCATATTCCAACGTCTCATGCATGTGACTCCTCGCGGACTTATTCCCCACAAATGTGCAGTTGTATCTTGACGATATTGTCGTTTATGGGAAGACACTGTCAGAACATAATGACAATCTTCGCTCCGTCCTCGAATAATTTCGTCAAGTGGGACCAAAGCTCAAACCCGGGAAGTGGAAAATTCTACAACCAGAGGTTAATTTTCTGGGGCATGTTATTTCTGCCCAAAGTGTTCAGTGTGACCCAACCAAAATAAAACAAGTCCGATCCTGGCCAACACCAATATCTGCTGACGAGTTACGAAGTTTCTTGGATCTTGCATCCTACTACCGACGCTTTATCAAGGACTTCGCACGGATTGCCTCTCCGCTGACGGAGCTTTTAAAGAAACATACCCAGCTTATATGGACAACAGTAGAGAATAACGCTTTCATTGACCTACGTAAGCGTTTGTGTTCACCACCGATCGTAGCTAACCCAGACTGTTTGTCAACTTCAGATAACTTCATTCTTGACACTGACGCCAGTGATTCGGCTATTGATGCTGGCCTTTCTCAACGAATGCCCAATAACGCGTCATCGCCTACGCCAGTCGAAGTTTGTCCCAAAGTGAGCAAAATTACTGCACCACTAGGAATGAGATGCTTGCTGTTGTCCATTTCGTTGAGCACTTTCGGCCTTATCTCTTGGGACGTACGTTCCTCTTGCGCACGGACCACGATTCCTTACTCTGGTTGCAGAAGTTCCGAGACCCGGAAGGTCAGTTGGCGCTCTGCGAAGACGAATTTGAATGCCAGCATCAAGCGGAAAATAAACACGGCAATACTGATGCTTTGTCTCGCCGCCCTATCCGTGACCATGGCGACTGTCCAACATGTATTGTGATGGCAATAAGCTCGCACGCACCCGACTCTTATAACTGGACCGAACTTCGAACAGCAGATCCTGAAGTGGAA